CATTGGTATATAATTTAGTACATAATTATTCTGGCAGCTGGTCGGTGTCTATTAATCACCAAACGGGGATAGGAGCAGAGGGCCTCCGCGGCGTTCTCCACGAGGGCGCTCCCCGGCTGAGGCGGACTTTGCGCACTGCGCCGCGACCCACCACCACCCCTCCTCGCCGCGCGCGGGGAGCAAGGGGGTGGGAGGGTGGAGGGAACGGGGTGTGGCGGGGAGCAGGGCCCGAGCAGGCACACACACGCACACACACACACACAGTCGAGAGCGACGTAACCGCGCAATAAAACGTAGGTGCGCTTAATTGGTGCTTTAGAGACCCGCGGCGGCGGGGGCGCCCCCCGGCCGGGTCGGGCAAAAGGCCCAGCAGCAGCGGGTCCAGATCGAGGCGCTGGCCGCGCCACATCGCGCCGCGCCGCGCGCCGCGCCGCGCGCTGCGCCGCGCCCCGCGCCGCAGCTCCGCCCGCGCGATCCGGTCGATAAGGGCGAGAGAGGACGCCGGCAAAAGCGTCGGCGTCGGCCGTCGTTAGCGTCCTTTCCCCCCGCCGCCCCGGCCCGTCCCACCTCGGCGAAATGAGCCGCCAACCTCGCCAAACTTCACCCTCCTCGAGGGCCGCGCACTCGGCGCGGCGCGGCCCGGGCCCCGTCTCCACTTTAAATATGGGCACCGCCTCGCGACGCGCAAGAGGAAATTCTGCCTCGCTTGCGCGGGGCCGCCACAGCCCGCCACAGGCAAGCACAATGCCGCGGCGTTGGGAGGGAAGGGAGGCACAGGCAGCGAGCTAACTGTGCGCCATTCCTGGTGGAGAGCCCGTGCCTGTGTGCGAGCAGGGCGAGGCTGGCGAGGCGACCGCAAAGCCTGAACACAGAGTAGAGCAGCAACGCCGGCCTGGCTGCGGGGCGGGGCCGGGCGGGGCAGGCATGGCCATTGAACGGCTGTCAGGCGGCGCGCAGCGGCCGCAATGTGCGGCAAAACGTGCGGAGCCTAGCTGGGGCTGGGCCTGTCCGCGGCGTTCATAATGAGGCCCTGTAAGGTGGCGGCGGGGCTCACAAGAGCCTCGTCGGAGTCCTGGCGGAGCGAGGCCGGGGAATGCGACCAAACTAGAGATATCCGCATCCCCGCGGCGCCAGACTAGGAGCTATTAGAAGTGACTACGAGACTGAGACTAGGGTACGTACCTCCTCCTCTCTGTTGGTGAGCACCTCCGAAGACAGCTGCTTCAGGGTCTGCATGAGGTTGCGCGACGCCTCGGCCAGGGCGCGCGTGTGGACTCTGGTCTCCTGCCGGTACGCCATGGGGCACCGCGACGCCTCGCACGTGCACGTCGATGTGGAGGTGCCGGACGCGGAGGTGCCCGACGACTCCTCGGGGCACGTCTGCACGCCCTTGGTGTTGGACGAGTTGGCAGAGGGTGGCGGCGAGGCAGACGCCGAGGGCATGGGTGAGGTGGACCTGGAGGTGTGCACAGGCGTGGAGCACGCCGACGTGCACGTCGACGCGTTGGTGGAGGTCGACTCGGCGAGGAACGTCGCCGGTCGGATGAGCACTTTCCGCGTGACGGGCGAGCTCTGCTTGGGGGAGGCGGGACAGGAGGATGAGGAGGAGGGGCAGGACGAGGGCGGGGAGGAGCCACTTTTGTCACTTTTCACCTCGTCACTGGTCCGATAGCTGGGGTCGATGGCGCGGAACAAGTTAGTCCTGGCGGTATCACTCACACTGTTACCACTGAGGGCCGAGGCCGAAGCCTTCACGGCCTGCGTGGCGGAGTCCATGAGCTGCGAGAGCAGCGCCTCACACGCGTTCGCGCTGGGCAGCGCGACCAAGGGTTCGGGCGTCGGCGAGGACGCCGAACACGGGGAGCCGGGCGTCGGCGAAGACGGCGCCGACGAGGAGGTTGGGGCCGCGGCACTAGGCCGTGTGGGGGAGGCGGGGGAGGGGGTGGCCGGCGGGCCCATGCTTGGTGACGCCGCGTCGCCAGTCACAGACCGGCTCGGCGACGACGGCGAGGATGATGACTTGGGCACGAGGCCCGGGATGACGGCACTGGCGCGCCGCACCCTGGCGGTGCTCATGGACCGCACGGAAGCCGTGGGGGACGTCGACGACGACCCCGTCGAGGCGGAGGTAGTGGTGGAGGTTGACGAAGGGGCGGCCGTCGACGACACGGAGACGGCTCTACTCGAGGTCGACGTTGAGGACGCCGACGAAGAGGCGGCCCGACTGCGCGAAGCCTGGGGTGATACGGTGGAGAGCTGCAGCTGGATCAGCATCATGTGGTCGCCAAACCGCATCGTGAGGTTGAGGGGCGCCTTGCCCGAGAGGAAGTCGTTCACCTGCAACAAGAAGAGCAACGGCGTTAAGGTCAAGCGCCCGGCTTTGATTGACTGGCGGCTGTGCCACGCCACACGACTATTTTTAGCGGGCGTACGAACGCGTTCGCGTCGACCCCGCCCCGCAGCCGCGATTCGAGACATATACTTGCATGCGATAGGGTTGCCGCTTTTAGACTGTACCTCGACTCAGACTAAAAATTTCCCGGTTCGATAAAGATTATCAGTTTCCCGTTTGGACGAAGATTGCCGTTCCAACTGTATTTTTCTCCCGTTCTAGCTTTTTGTCGCCGGTGTTTGTCCTCAGCACCACATCTCTGGGGTTCAGCCCGGGGCGCGGGGACCCACACCCACACCCTACACCCATGGGGTGGAAACGCCCCGCCCGCCCGCCAGTGCTGTGCCATGGCGCTATGGCCGCGGCCCAGCCTGGCCCAGCCCAGCCCGGCGCTCTGCATCGATTCCTAGCCCCGCACCGCTGCCACCCCGAGCCCACCACAGCCCCGCCCCCGCGCCGCCCCCGCGCTGCGCCGCGCCCGCCACGCCCAGCCCAGCGGCGGGCGGACCCGGGCCCGGGCGGCAGCAGCGATCAGCTGAGAGACCTCTGGCCTGCCTGCCTCTGGCACCTCTGGCGAGCGAGCTGCCTCCCCCTGTAAATAACTTACTTCTAGGCAAACAGCGCGGGTCGCCGCGGGGGACCGCGCCTCGCGAGCTTCAGGTTATTGTCGTTTTCAATCCGTCCTAGTCCTCAACCCACTGATGACCGTCCAGCCGCAGTACCCGGCGGCGCCGTCTCATGACTCCCTACCAGTGGAAAGTCCCTTCCCTATCCCCACCGCCCATGTCTAGCCTTGCTCACACTCGATTTAGAATGTTTCACTCATCATTTCAATATTTGAGCTGTTGCTTTTTAAAATGTTGATGGACGCCGGCTCGATGCGCCTCTCTCCGCCGCCGCTCATCCTCCCTCCACCCCTTCCAGCCCCATCCAGGACGGATTCGCGGCGTGAAGCGTAGAGCCGCGCCGCGCCACGCCGCGCACGGGGTGGTGATCAATAGCCTCGGCCCGGCTCGCCGCCACGCCCCGCACCGCCCCACCACGCCACGCCGCGCTTTGGCACGGGGAGATTTCGCGGGGGCACGTGGAGCTGCTGCGACAAGGCCGGCGCCAACCGATCGGAGCAAACACTTTTGTTTTCGCGCCTCTACTGGATATTTCTCGCCCCGAAACCACACCACCCCTGCGAATCCCGCTCCCTCCTCTCGAAGCGGACATTATGTAGTATTTTCGGACCGCCGCCGCCGCCGCGTATCCCGTTTCGTACTTTCCCGCTTTTCGGCTCGGCGGTGGCAAGGTGACCGGACGACCACTCTGGCGGAGCGCGTGCCCCTTGCACAACGCCAGCCCAGTGCGGGGACTTGGCGCTTGGCAGCCCGAGGCACTCCTCGACGTGGCCCGGGCCCAATAAGGGAGCGCGGCGCGGGGGCGCCGCATGGAACACCTCCACCGCCTCCCCCGCGCCGCGCCGCGCCGCACCGGGCCGGGGGTGGCTCATTTGCAAACCAGCCGAGCTCAAAGAGGGGCTGTGCCGGGCTGTGCGGGGCCAGTAGGGTCGGAGTGGCTCGAAGCCCGTGGGGCTTCTCGACCCAAACCAGGAACCTAGAGCCTCGCCACTTTAGTTTAAATGTTTAGCGCTTTTGAACACTAGGGTTTTGGAGCGGGAAGTCACACCCTCCCCTACCGGCCCTGCCCATGAGTCCAGCCCGTGGACCGCAAGCTTGGCAGAAATACGGTCGACGAAGCGCCGTCGTTTTTCACGAAGAGAGTTTATAAATTGAAAGCTAAAGACCGCCCCCCTCCTCTTTCCGGCCCACTACCCCGAGGGGCGCTATGGGCGCACGGTCCCCCTGACCAATCAATTTGAGATCGACAACGAGTCGATGGTGTTGCCGAGTCAGCAGCGTGCCGGCTCTGACTGGAGTCCTACCCAGGCAGGCAAGCAGGCAGACGTACAGACGGATAGATGTGTGCCGACTGGGCCAGTAGAAGGGACCCAAAGTGGAGGACCCAAAGGCTAGGACTCGGACCCGTAATGACACCATAGGGCAGTGGCCAAAGGCCAGGAAGGGCCGAAAGGCATTCGTCTTAGAGCCTACAGGTATGGGGCCTGACTGCCTATAGCACAGAACGCCGCTGCGGGAAATGGGTCACGGCACGGCATTGCACCCAGCAGCAGGCAGCAGGCAGCAGGCAGCAGCCGCAGCGACCCGGCGGCGTGGCGGAGCGTGGCGGGCCGCACGGCGCTCGGCGGCGCGGCCAGCCGGCCCAGGCCCAGGCTCTAGGAACACCAGCGTCACACCAGCAGCGCCGGCCTCGACAAACTTGCCAAGGGCTGGAGCGCAAAAAGTCAGACTTTCTTACAAGTTTTCGAGAAAAACCGTCTCCTTTGCAGTCGTGGCGCGCCTCGCGGTGCGCAGCGAGCGTGCTGTAGGACGCAGTTCTGAAGAACTGTCCTCAAGTGCCCTTCCTCCTCTAGGCACTGAAGAACGGTGCTCAAGTGCCCTGCTGCTGCTGCTGCTGCTGCTGCTGCTCCTCCTCCTCCTCCTCCTCCTCCTAGGCCCGCCACGTCGTCGCAGTCGGAGCAGGGCCACGGGCGTCGAGGACACACGACGCACGGCGCGTGGCACCACCAGCCAGACCGAAGGGCGGGGACTTCGTCGACGACGAGGGCGAGAAAGCAAACACGTCGCCATGCAGGTCCGCGGGCAGGCAGCGGGTCTAGTTCACACGGTCCGACGGCGCGCACACGTGGCCTGGTCGCACACGCGCCACGAGCACGGGGCCCGCCGCGGTATCAGCTGATAAGGTAAAGCGCCGACTCAGCCGCCGCTGCACCGCGCCGCGATGCGCCCCGCCCCGCCGCCCCGCCGCCACGGAGCGCCGCCGCCGCCGCGAGGCCCAGGCCGCCGCCACGGCCTGCTTGGCCTGGTTTCACAACGGCCCTGCTCTGCTCGGCCTGGCCGCAGCGCGCCCCGCGCGCCGCGAGCCGCGCGGGGCCGAGGGTGGCCGATGTGACGGCGGCGGCGGCGGCGGGGGCGCAGCAGCATTACCGAGCTCCATAACAAGAGCCAAGGCCCAAGGCCTCCGCGGGGTCGCCGACGAGACCGGCGTAATGACCGAGTGACTTGCAAGTCCCCGGCAGGCCCACCTCGGCATTGGCGTAGCCGGGGGAGCGGCTCAAAGAGATGATGGCGATGGCGCGGGCCTCTTTCTCCCACTCTTTTTTTGCACGAGTTCCACTCCGGCTACGCCAGTGCAGCCCGGCGGCGGTTTAGAGTGGTATGCCCCCCCCCCGACCCCCTTTGCACTCCCTTGCGGTGCATCGCCGGGGACGTCGTGGCGTAGAGCGTGATGTAGTCAGAGCATGGCGTAGCAGGCGTAGCGTGTGCGGCCAGGCTGGCTGGGCTTGGGCCTCGACGTTACCGACGCGATGCGGTGGTGTTCGGCTGGGTGTTGCTGTCGCTTCCATCGACAGAATCGACTCCCGCCCCGGGCGGCGGCGGCGGCAGCGGGGCGGGGCGGCGCGGGGGCGTACTGGCCCATCAGTCAGGCTGCCTGCTGCGAGCGCCGCCTCCTCCTCCCCTGCGCAGCTCGATACGCCCAGGATACGCCGAGGGGTTGTTCACAAATCACTTTGGTTTTCGCAGGGATGGTGTGGTTAGGAAGCGCACAGCGTCCTCGATCGTGAATTTGCGGACGCTCGGCGGGCACAATGCTCGAGTTTTGCACGCGAACATCCACACATCACACACACATTGTTCATAGTACCGGGTGTAACTGAGAATGCGCAACAGTGTTGCGGGATTGCATACCCACCAGGGCTGCAGGGGCCATGGCGCCTTACGGGCTAACTGGGTAGGCAAACCCGCAACACTGTTGCGCATTCTCAGTTACACCCGGTACATACCTGTCCGTCGTTCAGGCTCTCCAGCGCCTGCATCACACTCTGCTCCGGGCGCTGAGCCTGCAACACACAAAGAAGAGAACTGCCATTAGTGACCGGACAATCACAGACGTGCAATCAACTTGGGGGAGAGGGGGGGGGGGAGGCGATAGCCTATGGTAAATCAGGGGGGGGGGGGGGGGCGACAAGGACGAGGAGGAGGGTCACACGCGCGCAAGCGGCGCGGACGTTGCGCGGAAGCGCACTGATTCATTGATTCGGCTGCTGCAGCAGGCTGACCAGACGGCCTCGCCGCGCCACCGCGGCGCCACCGAGCAGCACAAGCAGCACAAGCAGCGGCACAAGCAGCGGCACAAGCAGCGGCACAAGCAGCGGCACAAGCAGCGGCACAAGCAGCGGCACAAGCAGCAGCAGCAGGGGCCGCGGCGCCAAATAGGTGAGAAGCGCGGCGGTGCGGCGGCGGCGGCGCAAGCTCAGCCAATTACGAGAAGGAACTAATCAAGATGCTCCACCCGGGAAAGGAGTCCCGGGCCGGCGCGCCATCAGGAACATCAGCAAGCAGCACGCCACTGCTGCTGCTGCTGCGGGCCGCGGCGGAGGGGCAGGCAGGCCGCAGCAACTCAGCCTGGAAACCCACGACCCAGATAGACAGACGCTCGCGCGCCGGCAAAGTGAAGACGGGTAGTGACGGGTAGTAGTAGTGGTGGTGGTGGCAGTCATGGTGGTAAGGAGGGGGGTGGGGGGGGCTCGGGAAGTGACACTGGAGCGAAGCGCGTCGTGCTGCCGAAAAAGCACTGGCACTGGTGATGTACTCTTGTCTGAGCGGCAGGGAAGGACAGGGAGCAGAGAAGGGAGGAATGGCGGCAGTAGCAAGCGAGAGGAAGGGGGGAGTGAAAGAGGGGCCCCGCACCGCATCCCGCACCGTCGTCGGGATGCGACGGCTGGCTCGCCCTGCAGCAGCGACAGTCTCAGACGCATTGTTGTGCCAGGCACCGTTTAGTCAATTAAGACGGTCTCGAGCCTGGGCCTTATTCTGGGCCCCGGGGATGGGGCATGGCCGCGAGATGGTAATGGCGTGGCGGGGAGGGGAAAAGGGCCGCGCCGAAACGGTTCAAAACGGCACCCGGCCACAGCCCACGCGCGCCGCAGCCCAGCCCCAGCTAACGGGGGTGCCACGGCGGCCAGGCCCACGGTACGGCGGCACAGCGGAGCAGGCGAAGCAGCGGGCGCGCACCAGATTTATAGGGAAAAGGTGCGCGGAGACTGATGGGGGTGCGCGGGATTCACACGATATAACTTTTAATAGGGTCGCGGTGGTGGGTACCGCACGGAGGACCTACAGAGGGCGTTAGCAGCCGAGTAAGTCGGGCCGTGTCGACACGGAGCGCTAACCGACCCGCTTGCGCCAGCCCCGGGGGCCCGGTGCGGCAGCGGCGAGAGAGGAAAGGAAAGGCGAGAGATCTCGGAGTGATTTTTTCGACAGAATGATCGTGTTACGCCCGGCTCCGCTGCTACCGGCCGCAGAGCGCCGCAGCAGGGCGGAGCAGCCGGTTGAAGGTCTTCACCGGGACACGATGGTGGCGGTGGAGGGGGTCCCCGTGTCGCCGCCGCCGCCCTCCTCACGGCCCTGTCCGTCCGTGTGGAGCCGCCCTCCCACAGGGCGCGAGGAAGGTGAGGCAAGCCCCTCTCGCCCTGCGCTCTGCCCCCCCCCCCCCTTCCGCCCCGCGGCCGCTCCGGGGGAGCACGAGTCTGGCGTCCCCCACTACGGTGCCCCCGCGGGGGGCCTCGCTCGCGTCACGTGACACTGGGAGAGAGGGCGACCGCTCAGCCAGCGGGAGCTGGCCCTCGGCCGTGTCCTCCAGGAGGGTTGGCCGGGGCGGCGGCCTGGGGGTGGCGCGGGGGCGGGGGCACCCTCCGGCAGCCCGCACGCGAGTCCTCCGGGGCCTCCGGGGCGCACACCAACCGCCGCCGCCGCAGCGAGTCTCGACGACGGGTTATTTTCCTTCAAGATCAATACGGCCCCACAGTTTTACTACCATAACAGCACCTCAGCACACCACGGGCAGACACGGGGCGCGGCGGACTGAATCCACCCCATACCGCCCCCGCCCTGGGTTCGGCCCCGGCGGAGACCGACTCGGACAGGACAGCCGTTCCAGCGACATGCCGCGGCTGACCGTCAACCGACCCCGACAGCGCGGGGCCGGGGCCGGCCGGCATTGCTGGACAGCTGTCCAGGGCGGCTGCTCTGCATTGCATTCCAGCAGGAGCAGCAGAGCAGCAGCCGGTGGTGGCGGCGACCCTCCCGACCAAACGAAACCCAGCACTGCCCACAATCAGGAAATAAAAATACTGCGAAAAAGAAAAGCAATAAGAAACGGTGGCGAGTGCTGAGTGCGGCGGGGATCATCATTGCACTACCGCAACGCCGCGCTGGTATCAATAGAAGTCGGCCGACCCGGACGCCGCCCCGCCTCGCCCCGCCGAGGCACGCCGTCTGGCCCCGCGTCTGGCTGGCCGGCCATGCTGGGCTCCTCCGGAAGTAGGCCACCCCGGCTCGGCTCGCCAGCCGCGCCGCCGCGTCAGGACGAGAACGGGGTAGGGGGCAAGGTGAAGAGTGCAGCTCGCGGCGGGTTGCTGCAGAGCGGCTGCTCCTCCTGCACCACCACCACCACCAGGACAACCCGAGCGGCCTCTTCTTCGCCACGAGCCGGGCGGGGTCAGCCCGGCCCCACACAGCCCCCGCCACGTCGCGCGGCGGCGGCACCGTGAGCCGCCGCGTCCCGTTTGGGCGTATTGATTTCTGGTCCAGGGCGGCGGCAGCACCACAGCCTCCTCCCCCTCCTCCTCGCTCATCTGGCGCGGACCGCGAGGACAGCGTCAACACCGAGATGATCGCCACCCAGGCGTGCGAGCGTGAGGCGCGAGGCGTGGCGGGGCCTAGCGGAACATGGCTGTGTAAGGAGGTGCCGGGGACACACAGAACGCCCTTGTCCACACACACACACATACACGCGGGTACATAGTGGGAGGCACGCCCCCGCCCCGGCGCCGGCTGGAGTCAGAGCTCCAGCAGTTCCAGGGCGAGGTAACCCGGCCTTTAACGGGAGTGCGACCGACTGGTGCTGGAGGCTCCAGGAGTGAGCGGCTGCGGAGCGCGCGAGCTGGGCCGGGGCCTGGACTGTGCTCGTCAAAGTCAAGCGAGCCGCTTTTCTCACGGTCATGAGAAGAACCTCATGTGCTTGCAGCAGCAGATGTGAGTGTGTCGGAGGCACGCGCACATGCGCCGTACGGACCCCTCTCCAATCCCCTTGTCCCCTCTCGGGTCAGCGCTGCGCCGGACTGCCGGACTCTTCCGCTGGAATTCCGACCCCAATAAGATTCGGAAAGTAGCGTTCCACAACGACCACCACCGCAGCAGGTCAAAGAAGACGACTCTCTATTGCCCTCTGGCCGACAAGAAAACCATCGACCGCCAGAGGGCCCCGGCCCGCCCGAGCGAACAAGCGAGCGGCAGCTGCCGGCCCCGCCCAAAACTGCACGAGAGAGGAGAGAGGGACACACACACGAGGCAAGCGAAGAAGATATTACAGCGAAAGAGAGAGAGAGGGGGGGGGTGAGGGAAGGCAAAGTTAGGCTGCGCCGACGTGGAGCTAGGCCCGCAGGCCCCCGCCACGCAAAGCGCCTTGCCTCCCGAGTAACGGTGCACGGCGCGCCCCGCCCGCCCCGCCCGCCCGCCGCCCGGACTCATCCCATGGGAGCTAGAAAGGGAACGCTCTCCGCCTCCCTCCGGCTCTTGGCGGCCCGGCCAGACCCAGCCCAGCCCGGCGGAGGCCCGAGGTCCAATCGATACTCTAGTTTGCACTGCTCTGGCCCACAAAATTCAAGCCAAAAAAAAAGCGACAAAAAAGCGAATTTGGCAAGATGTAGATGCTTCGATAGCCGCCCCCCCGGGGAAGGGAGGGAACTTGCAATAAGGTATAGAAGACGAATGAAAAAATGTAAAGAACCATAGGGCCACACGGAAAGGCAGACAAGTGCGTACTGTAAGTACTGCATGTGCAGAATATATAGTATACGTACTGCAGTAAAGAGACGTGAGGTTGGATAGGGGAAGCTAAGTGCAAATAGTGAACAAAAGAGGGAGACGAGGGGGAATGCGGGGGGGAGGGTTGAAGAAGCAATCCTGGGGGAGACGCGACGCGCCTGCCCACTTCCGGTCGCACCAGGTCAGCGAAGTAAAAGCGACAAGAAAAGCTCTTTTGCCTCGCTCAGGTGAGCACGGGAGTGTCACAAAGGAATGCACCTCCCCCACCATGCAGTGTACAGAGATTTAGCCAGTGTGCGTGCGTATAGCTACACTGCCTAGGGTAAAGGAAAAAGAATTAAGAGAATTACGGTTGTCTCGTCGTTGCCGTCCAACGACTTTATCTATCTACTCGTTCTCGAGAAGTATCGCCCACCCGGCATAGCTGGGGCTCGACTCACGTCCGGTGTGGCGCAGGGGACTCAGACAGACAAGCCCCTTTCCCCCCCCCACCTCCTGCATGGAAACACACACACACACACATGCACACACACACACATGCACACACACACACACATGCATGCACACACACACACACACACACACACACACACCACGGGTCCGACTGCACGGACAGGTGTGCGGTACGAATCAGGTAACGGACGATATAATTAAATCAGGTGGCCCTTGTTCGGGGAGCGAGGCGCCTCTCGATGCAGCAGGTACTGCTCTACCCCCCCCTCCCCTCCCCCAACACGTCACAAGCACTGACACGCCATTCGTACAACATAATACTTTTTCCTTTGGCGTGGCGTATCATTTCAAACCATATTTGCTTGCCAGATGCGTACATAACTTCAACGTGTAACTACAGCTGGCGCCTTAAATATACAAACTCACAGCGCTGATATAACAGTGGTGTAGTAAGACTTTGAATAACCAGGAAGGAAGACGAGCAGAGGCCCTCCCTCCCAAAACTGTGAGCAGGCAGGCGATACAGTGGCCGCCTCCGGGCCAACCGTTACCAGAGTTA